TCAGAAGCAGAGCCATTCAGATTTATTTTGATTATCCAGATTTTTGGCATTAAGTGTCAGTGTGCAGATTGGAAAAATCATCAGCATAAAAAACTAAATCTACCAGAACATAAATGGACTACATGTTCATAATAAAACAACAGCAACCATAAAAGTCAACATAATGATGATTTTGTAAAGGTGGCCTATCTGTCTTCGGGACAAAACTGTCTAATTTTCCCATCTTTATTTGTCAACTGAGCCTCATTAAAACACACAGCTAATCCAGGCACTATTAGAGACCTAGTCCTTAATGAGGACTGACAGCATGCGCATTGGAGGTGGGTTTAAATAATGTACAGTCAGTACTAAAATAAATCACTCGTGTGTTTCCATGGGGGCACATGTGCTTTAACGTGCTCTTATTATTCCTTGCATGTTCTCCTGCAGTGAACGAATATGAGCCTTGGATGTGTCCTACCGGTATTGGCTGAGGTGGTTGAGTGGTGGAGGCGGATCACAGGTCGTGTAGGTGTCTTGTACAGGCATTGGCAGAGACGGTCTGGTGAACAGCTGCTGGTCCTGGGCCACACTGCTGCGGAAAGCCTTACGGGTGGTGATGGCCTGCAGAGAAACTGAACAAAGCAGCCAGACAGACAGGTAATGTTTTTAAATATTTATTGTGTCTAAGTAGGGTAAGGTTACATTATTAAGAAAATATTATTATTATTACTGCAATATTAATCAGAGTGAGTATCCATCAGCAGAAGCATTTCCAAACTAATGGACTACTCTGAATAAGTACTAATAGGAACATACTAACATGTGTAGTCATATTACCATGTGGCAGCACTTACCCTCCTCTTCTTTGGGGTCCAGCTGGGTGACTTTAACCTGCAGACGATCCACTCTCTCTCCCAGTGTGTGCACTCTGATGGCAAATGCTCCAGCCTGGACGAAAAGCTCCCCAAACACATCTTCTGCATACTTGCCTACACACACACAAACACACATGGGTTTATAATCTGCACTGTGTAAAACATTTGTCTCACATGTGCACAATAAATGCAAATTTGCACCCACATAAAAATAAAACCTTGCATAAACCTCTGAAAACACGCACATCACACATATTTGCCACGTGTCATTACCAGCTCACACCATATTTCAGTGACATATTGAGACCCAACCACTCATAGTTGTCACTCACTGAGGCTGCCGAGCTGGCGGATGATGTTAGCCAGGCTGATATTGGTGACACATTCCAGTTCACTGCGAATGTTGGAAGGGATGGTCTGGCGACACACATGCCGCGGCTCTATGTTCCTCGTCACCAAAGGCATGGTGGGGTGTGGTGGGTACGGTGGCCCAGCCCTAATGGAGACGAACAGGTGAGTCATTTAAGACAAAGACACACAAATATAAATCAAAATCATTTGAGGAAAACATTTAATTGCATTTTTTTTTGACAAAAGTCGCAATTGTGATTTGATTTTTTTAAAACATAATGGAGAATCACAACAAGAGGACAGCCACACAAGGAGGATGGCATGAATTTGTAAAACTATGGACACAAGAGTTTAAACCCTGGGTCAGATGCGCTGCTTAAATTATATCCTAAATCGCAGCCTTTGTGATTTGCTAATTGCATCGTTCCATACTGCAATTTTTGATCTGCAATCTACTAATTGTTGAGCCCTACTGTCGTGTTCAAATAATTGAGAGTACAATGAGTGTAATTGGTACGTAATCTGCAACCGTTATAATACGGAACTGACAGCTAAATGTGACTTTTCTAGCAAAAAGTGACAATCTTCGACTGGTCTGAGCTTCACAGATGAGAGGATTCACTCCTTTTCTGTTCTATATATTCATCAAATTTAATCTCTTTGGGTTTTGAAGAGGTTGTTCAATAAAACAAGAATTTAAAAGACATCGCCTGGGGTTCTTGGGACTTTTTGATCGGCACTATTTACTAGTTTATAACAAATTATAAACTAAACGCTCACTCAAGCGATGATGAATCCCACTACTTGAGAATGAAAATAGCTGTTGGAGTTTGTTTCTATTCTTAAATAAGTCACATGCTTATGAGGCAAAAAAAAAAAAAAAGACCAGACAGAACTAAAGCAGAAGCAAAACTAAAGCTTTGCACCACGAAGCAAACACCCACCACCCACTCCCTTGTCTGTGTGAGCAAGAATTACATGTGCAAAACAAAAGAGATAAGAACTTCATGGGGTGATGATTTCTGCACAGTAATGTAAATACACTAAATTACATTGAACAGATCACACTAGGAGTAATACTGTCAGCACACTCACACAAAGCAGTGACTCCACAGTGCCATATGGAACAAGTTGAGAAAATGACAACTCCCATTAGGCGCTCAGGGGTTTACTGCAGACTCTCCCTGCTACCAACAGAGTGCAGGCTGAATTTGGCTTTCTGTAAGTATAGCCTGTTGTGCTTCCTATTGCCCATTTTGGTTGCCTAATTACAAGTTTTTCATGTTAACACTGAGGCATTGGAAAGTGGTGAAGTCATGGTATGAGTCTTATTCCACGAAGTGTGTGTTTTAAAAGTGTCTGCACCTTTCTTTGGACTGACAGGCGCGTTGTTATGTTGAAACAGAAACTGTGAGCTTTATTAATTTCTCCACGAGAAAGCAGCTGCATCCACGACAGGAGCTACCGTAATGTGTTCACTGGTTTGTTCGGCAGTGACAGCCAACCGCTCTATGTTTGGCAAACTGAAATTACTGAGGTTTACTGCTTAAAAGTTGAATATTTTTCATAAACTCGGCACTTTCTCGTTGAAACGTAGCTAAAAACCGGTCGCACAACACTAGCTAAAACGGGCTAAATGTAACTTGGGATCTCGGCCTTGTCAGAAGAGCAGGAAGTAACTTGTAGGCGCGTCTTATCTCGAAGAAACAGCCAAACAAAAGTATATTTACGTCCTCCACTTTATGAAAACAACGTAGAGTAAAAGTAGTTTACTTACCGTAAAACCTGGCAGCTGTGGGCTCTCTCTGTTCAGCCTGCTAGCCGTCCTGTCTCAAGATTTTCTCAAGAAATGTTGAGCGGTACAGTACGCGGACGAGCTAAACAGCTCGCGAAGGTCCCGGGATTGTCAACTTCTGATTGGTCGAGCGGCCAACTTCCTCAAAGCTGATTGGCTGCCGCGCCTGTCGCTCGCCGTAGCCGAGAGCAGGATGTGGAAATTTGAACGTAAAAAGCGCAACTCCACCCAAACTAGTGGCGAACATCTGTGCGCAATTTGCGTAACGCAGGGTGGAGGCAGCGTCGCATTCCAGCGTGCGCTCCAGCGAGTTGGAACGCGTCCGAGGAATGACTGGCATTGGCCTTCATGAATACGTTACTGTGGAGGGGAGCACTTACGCAGACAAATAACTGTCCTGTAAGTGCTTAAGCTGCAAGGAAGAGGAATAAACTATGTATCGACTGAAGATTAAATCACGTATTTGGTAACTTTAAACCTATGACCTTGTGGCAAACAACAGTGAGACATGTTTGTTTGAGTTTTGCAATCATCTTAAGCATTTAAGCCACTGTTAGAGACACTTATGTTGTTTTGCTGCATTAATCAAGTGCACACCCACCACCTTGTTTGTGTGAGCAAGAGGTAAATAGAATTAAGAAAAGGGAGAAGAACTTCATGGAGTAACGATTTCTGCACAGTAATGTACGTATATAAACTTACCTATCAAATGCATCATCTTAGGCATTTAAGTAGAGACACTTATGTTGTTTTGCGTCATTAATCAAATGCATATACAATATGTTTATAGAAAAACACAATGCACTGTATGTCCAGCTTCCATTTCATGTGAATTAAAGGTGTGTGTAGGCGAAAAAGTGACCAGTAATTACCTATTTTATTTCCTTTAGACTAGTAACATATACTAGGTCTCCCAAATGCCACAAATGCCAGTGTAATGCATTGTATTGATTAGTTTGTTTGAACTGGACATATTATTTTGTATACTTCATCTCTTACATGCTTTTATTTTTTCTCATCTGCTCTTTTCTTAGAAGATTTAGGCAGTTTTGATTATTCTATAAATGCAGATGCACTTTATTTGAAGTGTCATTCATTTAATTTTCATTGTGCTTTTTATTTTTTTTTTTTTTTTTCAATTTGCCTTTAAAACCTCTAAGTGTAGCCCTGTGATAGACTGGCAACCTGTCCAGGTGTCCCCTGCCTTCACCCTAAGTCAACTGGGAGAGACTCCAGCCCCCTGTGACCCTAGTGAGGATTAAGTAGTGTATAGATAATGGATGGATGGATGGATGGATGGATGGATGGATGCCTGTAAAACACTTGAAATAACCTCTGTGTATAATAGATGCTATATAAATAAACTTGCTTAAATGTTCTCATAGCGGTTATGCATAATAAATCCATTCTTTATTTAATTGCTTTTAGTTAGCGGCTCCTGAAGAAACGCTCTCTCATCTCATTTGTATTACTGTTGTATGTGCAGCAAAATGACAATAAACTTGATTTGATTTGGTTAAATAATTACAGCATTTTCTGAAAGATATCAAAAAAAATCTTGTAATAATTCCGTACATGCAAAAAATACTGTTTAAAAATATGATGTACTGAAAGGGAAAAATTCTTAATTTACACTGGGTGGCTGAAAGCATTTTTCTGAAACACCACGATTCATGTGCCTCTAACTGTATATGTAAAGTCACCCGATAATCCAAGCTATCACTCAGCATGAGATGAAGAGAAGACGTCAGCCTTTGTGCTTTACAAAGAGCGATACAGCAAGAGAGTCATTACTTGGAATCAGCAAAGCAGCTGTCTATTACAGCCTTAAGAAGAAAACACAGTGTGGATCCACCAAGAACCGCAAAGGAAGAGGCAGAAAACGGTGGTCACAGTGGTGTAGTAGTTATTTCCGAAAGCTGTCTATAACCGAAGAGAAAACCTGACCCAGGAATGACAGGATTCTCCAAAGACAGACAAAAAAAAAGTATCGATTCTCTGGTGTTATTTGGTATTTAATGTTATATTAATGCACATTATGGTTTCATTGTTTTCCTCTTTGTAATACAGTACAGAGTAAAGAGCAAAAAAGCTCAAATGATGGAAGAATTTCTACATATTTCACAGTAGGCACGATAAGTCTAAATACAATCTAAGCTTCTCTTCAATGTAAAGATTTATTGCACATAAAAAAAAGCATTTAGGGCTGTACACAAATAAATAATTTGTTGAATCTACATTCATGCTACGGCTGGATTAAGATTCATGTGAAAGCGCAGGTCTGTGGTTCAACTAAAAAAGACATGAAAGTATTTTTGGTGCCTGCCAGACTGCAGTTCTGTGTATAGGACTAGTTTAGCCACAGTCCAGCTGCTCCTTACATATACATGTGCTGCTTTCATATATTGCAAGTGAGGTAAAATCTGTAAATATAATTATTATATGATTGTGCTGCTGCCCAGGTTAATCAACAAGGTTTTCTTCTGCTCTATATTTGGTCAAGTTTTTCAGAATTATCGCTACAATATTTCCCTCTGATGGTGGAATTGTAAAAATGCAAATCCTTTCATGTCCACTAGAGGGAGCTGTCAGATGAAGAACCACGTATGTCTGAAATCTCAGGACAAAAAGTTATTATTCTGAGAAACTTCAGCCACTGTTCTGAGCCTGAACTTCTTTTTGTTTGACACCATCGATCAAATCAGATAAAGTGTGAGCATCAGCGTTGCGTGTTGACCCAGCTGAGGGTGTAGGAGCTGTGAGCGTTGGTTACTGTCCGTTTCAGGACACTGTGACCCTCTCCTGCAGAGCTGTGGACCAGCTTGAGTCCAGAAGCCTGGAGACCCTGAAGGACGCTGAACCAATAGCGGAGCACTTCCTCATCAGTCCCGCCCACCTCAAACCCTGCCCACTGCAGGTGCACCGTGGCAACCAGATGATGGACGTTCTGTAGAGTTCCTGCCTCGATCCAGTTCTGGAAAACTCGCCACTCAGCACTTAGCAGGTCAGCATAAAGGAAGTGAACCTAAGAGAATATAGAACAGAAAATAGAAATTCTACTGTAGATATACAAATAAGGTCAATTACAAACTGCTTTTACAACATCGAAATCAGAGAATGGTTCTCAAAGAGACATCCATCCTATTCTATTGTTACTGCGAGAGAAAAGTTTGCCAGAACTGATGAGAATCGCAAAAGTTCTGTCAGACCTGCTGCTTTGTATTTACCAATCACTATTGCCAAATATTTGAAAATCAAATTAAAATCATTATTAAATATTTATAAATGGATCTTGGAGCACTTCTTACTCTGTCAGCCAACACATGCTCAAACTGCAGGTCTGCAGTTCCCTCTTGTGGCTGCAGGATGTAACTGGGCCATTGTGTGATTCACTCACTTAAATTGTTGCCATGGCAGCCGGGGATGGCGCAGAGCCCTGTTGCTATGGGAACGTCCAAGTAAAAGAGCTTTCTGGGTATGTTGGGGTGAAAAGACTCTAAGGTATGTTTGTTTGGCACTGTTTCTCTAAATTTCTGTCTGTGAGTGTGAGTGTGTGTGTGTGTGTCTTACTGTGTGGTGTCCCAGAGCTGCCATGATATCTGCCAGTGTTTGAGAAACACTGCCCAGGTTGCCTCTCGTCTTGTGCCTGCGCTTCTTTGGAGCTCGCCACTCCAGCCACATCTTGTGCTGGCTGACCACGCCTCCGTCGCCACGGTTACTCGCCAAACTGTTGCCAAGGTGACCACCAGATGCATTGGAGTTGGTGGGATCAAAAGTGTGGACTTCGCATCCTAACCCTGACACAGTCTTCAGAAAGTCTGCATCCCCCCCATCCATACTAGAGAAGACAAAGACAGACATAAAAAGATAGACAGAGAAGCAGGGGAGCACAGAGGTGGATTGAAGATTATTGCATGCATGATTAAATATGCATTGCATTGTTTATTCCAACTCCGCCAGTGATATGAATGCTTAAGCATCTTAGCACATGCACTGACATAAGCGCATGGCTACAGACATTTTGGCACACCTGAAGGAGTATGCAACACACGATCTGTCTGCAGCTGGAAGGAGCCAGTCTTCAGCACACAGAAGCCAGTGGGCTGAAGCTGCAGGGGGCTGTGTTGCCTGAGCCTGCCCCGGAGATAAAACCCTGGAGCAGTTCAGCTGGGGATGGACAATCGAAGAGAGTCACATTAGATGGGTTGGGCAGAGGTCTGATGCAGAATTAGCCTTCGAGTTATTAGAGAGGAAGTTAGAGGAAAAAAAAGAAGAAGTGGTTGGAAGGCTTGTCTTGTGAAATTTGTGAGAACATTTCAGACAGTCAGTGATGTCTCCAAGTGTCTTTAAGTAAACCAAATTATTCTCTGGTGAATTTTTGTAGCTGTCAGTCATTCGATGGGAGCTGTTCTACAAGAATAAAATCTGAGCGGCTTAAATTCATGGCAGAAATTAAATAATTAAAGGAATATCAACCAAACATCAGTACAATATAGTAGGTTTTGTAGACGTGCAAGTTTCCCTCCCGGTTCCCAGCGCTCGGTGTTGCGTAAGTCTTAACTCTTGCTCGGGAGTTTCCAGTCTGGAACTGAACGTCCTTACTGGCTCCAGATTTGGCAGAAATCTGCTGCCAGCATATTGACAGCGCCTGACTGATCATATTACTGCTATGTTAACCCCCACGCTAGTCTGCAGTCGTAAAAGTGAAGTTGTTGAAAAAGTGAAGTTTTTTTTATTGATTGCTGTTAAGGCTTGGCAAGATTTAACTCCTGGCTTCAGAAATTTGAAGTCCCATCTGAGCTGGAATGCAGGCCTGAGACCATCACGGAGGGCGCTATATATGTATATTGAGCCAGTGGTTCCCAATGTAAGGGTCGAGACCTCCTCCAGGGGTCACGGGGTAAATCTGAGGAGTCACAGGGCATCGCTACAAAAATAGAGAAGAGGAAAAAGAAATCCCTGCTTAAAATTTGCTTTGTTTCCCTTTTGGCTTCTCTTGAATTTTAGCAGTTCCCCTAGTAAATACAGGACAGCTTTCAGCTTTTCCAGCATTCAAAAATTATTCAAATGAAAGTAAATTTTCCATCTGTGATGAGGGGTCACAAGCCAGAAAGTTTGGAGACTTTATATGTAATACTGGATGTTCAGTTCCTACATAACTTTACATTTGAATGGTAGAGTTTACAATCATTGACCTGTCTCACTGTCTATCTGCATTATATTGTATGAAAACTACGATTTCACAGCTGCACTGGGCCACAACAGTAGATAAACATGAAAAGCAGTTTCTGTTGGGTCATGTTTATGATAATTGGGAACTTTAATGTGCCTTCACACATTTCAAACACTGCGATTGAATAAGATTTGTTGTTGTCAGCTTCCTATTGATGTAAGATATTTTTACTTGGCATCACTACAGTGTTTCTGTGCAGCCTACCTGTGGCCTTGTGATATATGTGATGATACGACTGAGCTCTGCTGCGAAGGACGGCTCCTCTGCCGCCCACCGCTGCACCTCCAACGCTCTGGGCCCTCCCTGGGAACATGCATGCATACATCAATACATACTGTAGATAGTATGGCAAGGAATACTAACCATGAGAATGTGGAAAGTAGCTGAATAATGCATTGGAATGACAGCAATGTGAGTGAGTGCCCCAGGTAGGAGTGCTGAGGAGGCAGGTCACAGGCGCTGACCCCAGTCCTGCTGGTTAACATATATTTGCCTGAGGCCCTGTAACATGCAAACACACACACACACTCTCGCATAAAAGCCCCCCACAATCCTAACTCCGAATGAACCCTGTGTTCACCATGGCAACCTCTGTGAGGAGGGTGGGGGGCTGATGATTCACGAGAATGAGTCAGAGAGTTTTAGCCTTGGGCAGATAAAGAGACAGTGACAGAGAAGGAGCATGAAAGAGAGAGAGAGAGAGAGAGAGGGCGTGAGGAGAGAGGGGAAGGGGTTGGAGGGGTGAGGAGGGGAGCACATGCACCTACACACAGACACAGATGGAGGCTGTGAAAGTGAAGGGCAAAGAGAGAAGAGCGGAACAGCTGTCATCTCTGTCTGATCTGGGGGTCAGCGCTGCTCACCTCCTGCCCTCACCTGTTCCATCATGTCCGTAGTAATTCAGAGCTGTGCGCAAACTGGCCCAGCGTAATGAATAAACTGGACACCACAGCAGCAGGGAATCTGCATTATCTGCATTCCTGAGGCAAACATGCAAGATCTGAGTGGTGTTTTCTCTTTATCTGCCCCCCTCATACTCTCTCTATAGTGAAATTAACTGAAGATGCAGCCTGCTGTAGGTAAAGGCTGCGTTTTAATGTATCCACCCAAAGTCTACAGGTGTTAATATCGATCATATGTGAGGCAAGAAACACTCGGGTTAAACTTTATTACCAACCTGGCGCGACTGAATCTCGTTTTCATCCTCGTACGCGCGTCCCCCCTCCCTCCTCTCTCCATCGTCCACCTCCACCTCCTCTTCCTCCTCGTCCTTCTCCACTCCCGGCCACCGGGACTGCGCTCCCCCTCCTCGGCGCGAACTTCTCCTCTCCGGCTCGATGCTGATCACGGAAAAGGCCACCGCTCCGTCCAGCTCCCGCGCCCCCGCCCACACCCGAGCGGCTTCAGGTAACCGTGACCCGACGACGAGCAGCTGGAGAGCGAGGAGAAGCGGCGGGATTAGAAGGAGCAGGACTCCCGAGCGCAGGGACAGACCCCCGCGGCTCCACCACCACCACCACCGCGCACAGGTCCGCATACCTCCTCCGTGGCAGCGGCGGCACCGGGGATCATCTCCGGCGCGGTGCCCTGCATGTGATTAAAGTTTTTTCTTCTTTTTTTTTTTTTTCCTCTCTGGAGGGCAGCGAGGAAAGTCCCAGCTGAGAGCTCCCCTCCTCCTTCCTTCCTTCCTTCCTCCTCCTCCTCCTCCTCCTCGTCGTTACCCCCAGGGGGAAAGTTGTGATGACGAAGCGCATTCCTCGGTCAGCGGTGGCCTCGTTGACACACTGACTGCTGTTTTATTTGGGCCAGAAGTAACTCATATGTAGATATTGGATTTTAAAGAAAATCCTTTAGTGAGCAAACAGGCCCCAAAACTGCTGAACTATATATTATATATTATGCTATATAGTATAAAACTGCCATGTTAATGTACAAAGTTAAGCATAAAAAGATGATTTCATAGTGGAGAGTGACTGCTTTTCTTCCAACAAAGTAACATCAGTGGTGACTGAAACTTCACTTAAAGTTTTATTTTACTGTTAGTGCCAATATAGGAATAAGTAATAAATGTTGCAGTGTTGGACTGCCTTAAATTGGCATAACTAGGCTACACTATTAAGTATATATATATATATATAAAATAAAAACATATTTTACAGATTTATCACTTCTTGTCTCACCTTTTCCATACTTTTAAAACTTTAAAAAACTTTTTTTCCACACAAAAAGGCTGTTAAATACATTTTTACAATTATTTTCTATTTAATAGATGGGGTTTTAAAATTCAAGTTTAATGCTGTAATTCTATTTGTCAAATGTTATACCACAAGTGAAAAATAATTTAAAAAAAAAATGTAATTCAATTTTTTAAAATGAAGTACTGGTTTTGTTATTTCACTTGGATTTGTTTGGCAAATAAGAGATATCTTGTATATTGCAAAAGTTTTCAGCACAAACATGTTGTACGAACGGGTTTTCATTAGTGTAAAATATCTTTAAGTATTGGTCTTCAGTTTTAAAAATACAGTACAACAAAAAAAAAAAACAACTATCTAATATTGCTATTGTTGCTGCTGTCATTAATAATATCATCCTTCATTAAAGATTAAGAAGATAGGTACTTTTTTGGTGCTCCAGTTGTCAAAAAAATTACTGTTTTTGTCTTGTTTGGAGTTTTTGTTGTTTTTTCCATTTTTTAAAAAACTTTTTTCCCTTTCTGAGTAAGGCACCTTTACTTTAACCTTTCAATTGATGCTACTTATACTCCACTACATACACACAGGTGACAAATTAAAGGAAAAACCTGGATGACTCCCACAGTGAGGGGATCTGTTATGCTGTTGTCGGCATGATTTGTGTTCACCTGCTCCCCTCAGAGTAAAGGGTCACTACAAATCAGCGCAATGTAGTTCAGAGTGATCACCTTTATCCTGTGATGAAGCACTTCTACCCTGATGGGATTGGTCTCTTCCATCAGAAAGATTATACATAAAAGATTATACATACTTACATTATAAAATCCAACACTGCATGAACTTGTTAAAATGATCTCCTCCTTCAGCACTGACATGAATATGTATGTCTCACACTGTCGGGGAACATTCCTTCCCTTTTAACGCGATTAGCACATTTTCATGATAATATTTCAATACTTTTACTATATTGGAGTTTTGTGAAATTGTGGTGTTTCTACACGGGTAGCGCACAGGAGAGGTCAGACAAATAGCTGACAGATACTATAAATTATTAAATACTTAGAATGTTGTCATATGTGCTGAACTCTAAATTGGTGGATGCTTCCACTTTTATCATACTAGTTGCTGAGAAACACTGTTACCGATGATGGTGAAGTGCTGTTAGACTTGCTTACAGCATAGGTTAAAGTTGGCTGTAGAAGATAAACATTTGTATGCAAATGAAACGGCAGTGTTTTATACAGTACAAAAGAAAAGCCTGACAGAGAGTTGCTGCTCTGCACCCTCCCCCTCTCTGTCTGTCATGTCGTGTTGTTGACAGTACGTGTCCCCTTCCACCATACAGTGGAATGTCACAGCAAACACATTTCCTCCGGCCATGTCTGAGTCTATTTAGTCAGCCTGTTGACAAACTGTACACAATATGCAGCCAGTAAACTTCCCCCATCTGCTTTCTTTCTCTCTCATTCTCTCTGGTTGTCTGGCACAAACATGCGTACACACAAGCTGCAGATGTACAATATTTGCTGTACAATTGCAAGTTTCCCTGTGAGGACACGAAATGAGCATGGGGTCCTTTCCTCTCAGCTCTGTGGTAGCACCAGCTTTTACTTTGCGCTTTAACACATTTCCTTATTTGGAAGAGGAATTTTGAAGCTGCAGTTTTGTGCATTTTGTTTCAGTGGCTTTAAAACCTCTTCGACACCCTTTTCTGATTTCCTCAGTCTGGTTTCTTTCTTTTCCCTCCAACACATCCTCCCCTGCTCTACCCGCCATCCATTTTTCTCCTCCCCTCCCTTTCACTCCCTGTCGAATTGTGTCCTTGACTGAACTCGCTCGCTCACTCGCTCACAGTCCCAGACAGCCTGGGCAAAGCCCAATACTCGGGGAGGCTCTAAAACACACGCACGCACGCAAAAATATGCCCACACCTCCCTTAATCCGTTAAAGAAGCTGTATGCTAAAGACACGATTACCAATGGCAAGAACAGAATGTGTATTTAAATATTTTGCACCTCAGATACATACATGATATGTAACAGACAGATATACAATTTTTTTCATCACAAAAACCACCAAACAACACAAGACCACAGAAAAAGAAGGGAGAGAGTGAAAGAAAGAATGAGGCCCCGCCAAGACTTTTGTGTCTGGGGAGCTTCACTCCTTTTGACCCCACAGGCACGCACACACACTCATATGCACACATATATGCACACGTACACACAAATACATGCATTACTGCTGTCACGCGAATGCACCCTCTGTCTCACACTCGCACACAGAAAACAAGAGTCTCTTTGGGGCCGTTGTGTAATTTCAATGTCTCTTTCCCTTGTAGTTAAAACAGCAAAACACAGGATGTTGAGTCTCCATGCTGCAGTCCTCCCCCCCAGAGCAGAGAAACCATGGCAGAACGCAGAGGAGGGCAAGTTGATGACGGGCCTTCAGAGAGAAGAGAGGCCCCCTGGCTTGGAGCTGGAGTCATATGTACAGATGCTGGTATTTCAAGAGCAGAAACTGATTTAGTCCACTTTTCTCTTATGGGACACAACACAAGGAGTGCACAGAGCGGGACATTTGCTAGGCTCATGGTATTTAAAAAGTTGATTTGGGCTCAGATGCGGTTCATGTTAGGGCACAAGACAGAAATGCCAGGTTAGTGAGTTGAGTGCAGATCACGGTTGCTGGTTTAGCAGAGGAAAGGGAAGTTGGGAGTAAACAGAGAAAAAAAACAGAGAGAGAAAGAGAGAGAGCGAGACAGAGAACCGTGTGATCCTAGTTTTTCTATATTGCAGATGTACAGAACAGAACCGGAAAGATTTGGCGAGATGTATCACAGCGGGACTCAAAGGGATGTGGAAATAGGTTTGTCTCTGTCCGTGAGCGTCTGGTATTCATCTGTCAGCTCCTCTTGGCCGTTCCCTCGTTCCAGCGCAGAGTGCGAGTGAGTGTGCACATGTATGGGTTTTTTATGTGTTTGTGTTTAGGTAGTGGACTTATCTGCACATGCGCGTCTGTTTCTGTGTGTGTGTGCATTTGTGTATGTGCATGCTTGGGTATTTAAGTTGCGGTTGATCTTGATTGTCAATGCTGGAGAATTAAAGCTTTACTGTCCAAAGCTGGCAGCTAAATTCTCACCCTTCATTTCACAGTCTCTCACAAAGAAGTCCCCTTAGAAAAGAAAAAAAAAAAAGAAAAGAAAAGAAATGTTTGCAAATCTGTAAAAGCTTGGATTGAATGCACCTGAAAGAAAAAAAAAAAGAGACAAGGAGAGACAAAGAGAGGAAAAGAGACAAAGGGAGTAGTATGAGACAAATATATTTCTGACTGTGATCAAATGATTGTAAGTGAAGCCATATTTCCAATGATTTGCTAATAATGTGGTAAATAACATGCACACTGTGGCTGCTGGATTGCATTCTTATTGACTTACATATGTGTACTGAATACATTCACAGCTTTTATTTTATTTATTTAAATCCACCTATAGCTTCTAAAAAACTGGCAAAACAAAATTGTAAGTATGGGCATGACTCAATTATAAGGTTCAAGTGTGATTCATTTATTTCAGCATTGTTTACTGGAGGAGGAAAGAGAAACAGTTTAACAGACTTGGTGGCGACAGTCCGAGACATTCTGTGTTTTTTTTTTTTTTGTTCTTAGAGTATTATATATCTTGAATAAAACTGATTTATAATGCTGTTTATTATAATTGTGTCCCAGGACAGATGCCATTTTTTCCCTTCGCTCGCTAACAGATTTACAATAGCTTACGTTGCTGGAAAACTTTTCTGGCAACGCAAATGCTTTGTGTTGTACTGCGAGACTTAAATTGTATTTGATTGGTTATCAATAAAAAGTGACCTGATCCATTTATGGTTGAATGAAAACAATGTTGTTACTGTTGCCTTTGAAAGACATTTTCTCAGCAATTCATGTCTGTGAGACGGTAATTGCAGATTATAATTGTTAAGGTCATGTTTAGTGGGATTTCTACTAATAATAACAATAGTGCTTAATCATTTTATTAAAAATCATGTAATTAATTGATTTGTGACATAATTTCCCCCATTTTTTTAATAATCCATTAAATATCAATGAAGAAACTGCTCTGAAAACATCTGATCAGGTTTTCTGTCTATCAATAAGTAAATTGACAGCTAGCAGTCAAAAACACCAGCTCAGTCTGAGGATGGGCTTATTGTTGATGTGAACGTTAAATAAACTCACCTGCTGTTACAGGCTGGTGACGCTGAAGCTGTCATCACTGGCTGGGTCCAGGAGCTGGCACAGCACCCCACTGCCCTGAGCCGCCTGGGAGGGGTAGCGGAGTCCCATGCCCTGGTAGGATTGCTGGGGCAGGGAGTAGCCACTAGTGTCCTCCTGATGGGGCGAGGAGTCCAGGGGAGGTTTGGGGTAGGGGGAGTGAGGCAAGGGGCCCTGGCGGTGGCCTGTGCTCATGGCGTGGGGGGTCAGACCCTGCTTGTGGTGGGTCATGGCGGAGGGAGGGCTGCGTTCCTCGTAAAGCACAGGCGTCGAGTGGGAGTGGAGGCTGGGGCTGGGGTTGGTGTGCGTGTGGGACGGGAGGTGGGTGTTGAGGGTGGTGTGTGCGTTGTGGAGGGGCTGGTTGTTGGTGTGGGGGTTTGAGTGGGAGAGGGGGTTGCTCTGGAGGTGTGAGGAGGGAAGTGTGTTGGTGTGTGAGCTCAGGTTTGCGTGGGGCTGCGTGTTATGAGGATGTGTGTCGTGGGGAGTCGGGGTCATGTGTGTGTTTGCGCTGGGGCTAGTGAGGGAATTCCCATGAGTGTTTCCATGAGGACTCGTGTGCGGGTTGCTGTGCGCGTGCATGGCTGTGTTTGAGTGCGTGCTGTGGGAGTGCGGGCTGGGGCTGCCGCTGTGCGACGTCTGTCCATACCAGTAGGGGGAGCTGCAGTAGCTGGGGGAGTCATACTGTGAAAACTGGGGGTCTTTTGGAGGAGGACGGTGCGAGGGACTCAGTGCAGTGCCGCAGTGGGGTGTTAACCGTGGTGAGGGGGAGCAGGAGGGGGAGAAGGTCCTGGAGGGGAGGAGGTGGTACGACTGGGGCGGTGGAGGGGTGGGCTTAGGGGGGTAAGGGGGAGATGAGACACTGGGCGAGAGGGAAGAGGAGGACTCTCCAGGGTATAAGGCTGGATATCGCTCCTCTGAAGAAGGTGTGGAAGGGTGGGCAGAATATGGGGAGGGGTACTCACAGGGGTCCTGGAGGTAGCTGGAAGGCGGTGCAGGATTAGGTGTGGCCAGGGGAGAGAGGCTGCTACTGTCTCCGCTGTAATAATCCAGCCCCTCCTGGAACAGCCCAGACCCGTCTGGACCTCCAGCAGACACAAGTCCCACGACTGAGGCAGCGGCAGCCTTGCCTCTGCCTTTGGACCCCGATGGTCGCTCTCTCTGACAGGGAGACAGACCTCCTCTGCCCCCTCTAGACCCTCTGCCCCGTCCTCCAACCCCTCCCCGCTTTGGTCCAGGAGTAGGTGTTGGGGAAGGACTGGATGGGGAATCAGAATGTAAAGCAGAACCCCCATCTTTGTCGAGTTGTGGTTCAGTCCGTTTTCTACGACCACGGCCGGGTTTGCTGGTTCCCCCACCCTGGAACAGGACGTTCTGGCTCCAGTTATATGAAGGTCCAGAGGCACTCTCATGCCAGTCCATCATCAGTTTCTCCAGACTGGACAGACTTGACTGACCTCCCTCTCCAGGGGCAGAAACAACCTCATTCTGTTTGTATGTGCCACCTGTGGAGCCAAGACCACTACCAGTAGCTGCAGAGCCAAGATGTGAAGAGTCAGAAGAGGATTCTGATAAACTTTCAGGAAACGGCTGTCGCTTGGCCTTCTGGGGGGTGTAGTTTGAGATATCCAAGATGTCTTTGGATTCATTGGAGCCGTATTCACCATAGCCATGATACTGAGGCCCGAAGCTGTCTGTTGACCAGCCACCATAGCCATGTCTGAAAAAATAGAAATATGCCAACACATAATATAAAACATACAAATAGCACTTGAGCAACATTTCTGTTCCTGAGTATATTTCCCTTTCCGCTGCTCTTTTTGCAGCTCCACCAATCGAAACTGAAAAAGGAAAACTCTGAATACAGATTCTGACTATGGATTGCTAAGATGTGTAAGCACCGTGCACATTTAGCCGAATGTTAATTACACGGTGAAGGTGGTAAAATTGAAAATTATGTGCTGGAGTGAAACATTTATATTGAGTAATTCACATCTCTTTGATCCTGTTACGATCAGACTTTAATTCATTTGCACTTTTCTTTTTGAGCGGAAGAAAAGGTTTAGTTACATATTCATTTCGGTTCACACCAAGTCAGACTTTACTTGAATTAACTGTATTTGTTAGCTGAGTATATTTGTATGACAACAGACAACCACGAGTGATTTACCTGTAGCTCCACTGATTAGAGAACTGTTTGTAGCCCTCTGGGGAGGAGGAACTGAAGGGGCTACTTTTGGCCACAGACATGAACCCGCCTCCAGGTGATGTGGGTCCTGTTGACTCCCCCCTTGCTCCAGGGTATCCACTAAAGCCCCGCTTGGCTGATGCCTGATAGCTAGAATAACCCATCTGACCAATAGGTGTGCCCTTTCCACTGCTGTGACCAGACCCATAGGCAAAGCTGCAGTCTGAGGACCTCTGTGGCACTGCAGGAGAAGAGCAGGAGTAGCCAGAGGAGTAGTGGCCATAAGAGGCAGGATGTGGGGAGCTGGGAGAGTGTGAGAGAGATGGAGGAGTGGATTTAGGATAGGTAGAAGTGGTGGGCGATGTTTGGGCCAGGCTGCCGTAGCTGTATGGAGGCCTGGCTGAGGAGCCATGCGCCTGGGCTGGACCCTCCGCACCAGAACTTCCACCCTTAGTGCTCCACTTAGGGAACGCAGGAGACCAGCTGTGACTGGTAGCTGGGCTGGATGGCTCATAACCAGGGGTGGATGAAGCTTTGCGGGGGTCTGACTGCGAGGAGATGTCCAACAGGTCAGAGGAATCGTCAGAGTCGAGCAGTGATCGAAAATATCCAGCAAAAAGGCCTTGTGAGTCTTCCCCAGCTGGCCCCGCTCCTCTGCTTCCTCCTGAACTGCTGTAGGCACCCCCTCTCCCCATGTCGCAGGAGGAAAAACCCCCCCTCGGGGATCCACAGAGCTGGTAACCACCTAAACCTTTCTCCTTGTCCATAGCACCATCCTCCCCCCAGCCACCTGCCCCATTGGGCCAGTCCTGCCCCATGGACACCCCGCCCCCTTTAAATGCACCATTTTTTCTCACACGTCTCTTCTTGACTTTCTCGCCCCCAGGCTCTGTTCCTACCATACCCCCTCCCCTACCAACTCCACCCACACCCTTCCCCCTTTTCCTAGGTAATCCATGCTCAGACAGGGGGCTCAGTTTCCGCTTTTTTCCAATGGATTCAAAGAAGTCACTGAAGGTGCTTTTATTGCACTCACTGCCCCCGATCCCCCCTGCTGCTCCTCCACCTCTTCCAATACCCCCTCCTCTGCCACCCCGGGGGCGTCTAAACCCAGTGAGCCGATGGAGCAGGGTGGATATGCCAGGGTTTTCCAAGGGCGCGTGAAAGCTTTCTGGCTCACTAGGTGTCCAGCAGCGAGGGGGAGAGCAGCGGCCAGTGGCAGGGGGCTGTCGGTTTAAAAAGGCCAGCTTGGAGAGAACATCCCCGTATTCTGTTTTCACATCATTTGTGTCATTAACATAGGACGGATAAGGAAAAGGGAGTTTAGTCCGACGCCGCCTCCGGGGCTTCTTAGGCTGGTCTCCGCTACCACCAGTGTTCCCAGCAATCGGAGGCTCTCCCTGTATTCCTGGCACAGCCTGTTTAGGAGGTCGTCCACGCCTGCGTTTCAGAATCACAGGGAGCTCTCCAGGAGGGAACATCACCATCACACTCTTTCCATTGTTCTTCATACGGAGAAGTGCAGTTGGCTCTCGAACTGGCTCTGAGCCCTCCACAGTGCCATCATTAACTTTCTCTGTCCCTGTGACTGTCTCCAAATTAGAAATTTTGTAGCTCTTCTGCCGGCGACTGAGGCTGACAGGGATGCGAGCCACCTTGACAACAATCTTCCTCACCTGAAAAGCAAAAAATAACATAAAATCTTATTTGCAAAAGCAAATTGTCTAGACATCCTCTTATGCAAAGCATGTAATTGTATTTAATGTTAAGAAAAAAAAATACAGTAACGTTTAATCAACTTACGCCAACAAAACGACCACGTCTGCGGTTATTGGGAGGACATAACCCCAAATCTGCAACAGGTTCCTCCTTCACAGTTAGCAGAGGTGCAGTAATGGCGGACGTATTCACAAATGCAAGATGACTGGTAGCACGCTGGTGGAGGGCCTGGGCTGCCTGACGCTGTTTCATTACACTTTTAGGACCTGCTTTATGGACAGATTTTGGTCCAGGCCTAGACCTGGATTTAGGTCCAGGTCTATGCCCTAATCTGGGCCCAGGTTTAGGTATAGCTTTAGGAACAGGTTTAGGTACAGTTAGAGCAAGAGGAATGTCTGTATGACAGGTGGGTGTGGGGAGAACAGCCTCCACGGATGAATGCTCTTCTTTATCTGCAACGGCCACCTCCTCCTCTTTAACACTCCAGATCTTCTCCTCTAATACTTCGTCTTCCTCCTCTCCTCCTTTCTCCCTCCCTGCCCTTTTTTCTCCATCCTCTATGCTTCGGCGGAGGCGGGAGGATTTGCGCAGGTGGCAAGGAAAGCGGGGACGTCCAGAGCTGCGCAGTGCATACTTCTTTTCTGTCTCCACAGGAAGAGGAGAAGAGTCTGCGTTTGGGTTTGGGACTGCAGGGACTGGACAAAAGGGGGAGGGTGTGTCTGTCTCTGTAGTCCGGACTGGGGCTGCCAGCTGATTGGTGGAGGCAGGATGATTACCAAGTACCAGAGACAAGGGCTGAGGGGAAGCTGTGTGCATGGCCTCTGATGTGAGAGTTTTGGAGAGTTCTGGCACTACAGAACCTGTATGCACGTTGATATCCATATGTGTGTGTGAAAAGGCCTGTGCATGCACATCTGGGTCTAGGTGTGTTTGCATGTTTCTAAGTGTCTCTGCAAATGTGTGTGTCTCAGCAGTGTGAGTCTCTGTCTGCCTCCGCCGGCAGGTGCTGTGCCCCAGCCTCCTCTGTAGATGGAGGCCGTTGGCCAGGGCAGAGGGAGAGGAGGGGGGGATGTGGTCGGACGTCACCAGTGCCAGTCCATCGTGAGAGGGGTCCTGGAACCCCCCCTGGAGCCCGAGCTCCCTGGTCCAGAACTCAGGCCCCTCCAGCCCTTCCAGCTCCTCCACACACCCCTTCTCCTCTGCCTGAGTCTCACCACAGCCCACTGGAGCCCCAGTTTGGCCTGTATGTAGGTGATCCGACAAGCCACTCATTCAGTGGACAGTTTTGCTGGTACTGAGGCAGGAAAAAGAGGGATGTTTTTCCTGTATGCAAGTGAGTATCTCGTCTTTGTTGCTGTCCTCCTCTAACAGCTGGCAAGAAGATTCAAAAACCTAAAGACAGAAATAAAAACAACTGGATGGGAATTTGAGAAACACTTTGATCTCTCCTTATTTCATTTAGGACATTTAATTCATATGCCTTGACTCTAAATATACTAGTCATTGTGAGGCATTAAACATGCCGTACAAATAACTAGAATTACTCCTTTTCAGGTGCATGCCAACTAGACAGGTTGCAGTTTACATCCATGTTTGTCCAGACTCATACAACATATGTAGTGAAGACAAAGTTGTAGCTTTGACAGTAGAGGATGGTTCAAAAACAGATGTTGCATCAAAGAAGCTTCAAATTCTACAGCTTGTATGCATTACACACATCTTCAACCAGAGAGAGATTATCTATACCATCAGCACAGTTCCAAAGTGACCATCCAAGATGTGTTTCACCAATTCACTTGTTAAATATGGTTACAATCTCCCCTGCTGTTCCTGAGTTATGGCACTGAATAACAGCCACAAAAGGGCTTTTGTAGAACATTATCATGTCATAGTGAAGCTGACCTTTGACCTTTAGTATATAACATATGATGCCTTCATCATTTTTATCTTGTTAGACATTTGAGTGAACTTTTTTCTTAATTTATCTATGAATTCTTGCATTACGGCCAAAAACACATTTTGTGAGGTCACAGCGACCTTGACCTTTGACCAGCAAAATGTGATTAGTTCATCCTTAAGCCCAAGAGAACATTTGTGTCAGATCTGAAGAATTTCCCACAAGGAGCTTGAGAGATATCGTGATCAAGATTGGTACGGACAGACGAATGCTCGTATGTTTGCATGGACAAAAGTAAAACCGAAAAACATAATGCTTCAGCGGTCACCGGCGCGGAGTCATAAAAATCCAACATTTACGGCTCAGAATTTTGATTGTGTGATAGAATCGTCAACATTTTGGCAACGGGCCACAAACTTAATCTGTAATGCACTCTCTTCTATTAACTGTGCCACCCACACAGCAACATTACAACATTCGATTACATTTACCATTCATATCCTGCTCAATTGGTTGCTTTTACCGAATGGTTGTGGCGCTGATTCTGATTTTGATTCTGAGTTGAGCCTCACTCTGTCTGCCTGACTGGCTCTGTTCTGCAGGGGATCATTGGGTCATCAATACTGCAGTGGAGAGCTCACATACTTCTCTCTCTCCCCTCTGCTCCTGTCTTTTGCCCATGGTTGCTAGAGTGAGAGAAAGAAAGAAAGAAAGAAAAAAAGAAAGAAAGAAGGAAAGAAAGACAGACACAAAGACATAGAGACCGACAGACAGACAGGCAGACAGACAGACAGTGGAAGGGACAGAGAGTTGAAGAAGGTGGGAGAAACAGAGAGACGGGAAAAAGAAAGGAGTGTGGAGGAGGGTGGAGCAGAAAGAAAAAGAGAATAAGAGATTAGTACATGATGTCACAGCATGCATCAGACCAGACTAGAATCAGTATTTTGGTGAGGGCTGCACCATCTCACATCAGACGCAATTATTTTGGAGAGATGACTTGCAGTATATATTTTCAAAGTCTAATTGTGGTTAGTGTTTCATTTTGATGTGTTCCAGGAGCACACACAAGCCAGCAACTGGATTTCCACACATACTGTTGATCATCACTACATGACGATGACCAGACTCGCAGGATTGTGTATTGTCTTTGGGATCGAGTACATTTTTCCACATATAAATCTTACTATATTTGAGTAAGAAAGAAAAAAAAACAACCCAACATTGTAATCACACACGCATACAGACTCACACATACTCACGCTGCACGCCACATTTCGCCAAAACTATTCAAATGCATTACAAAGCACTAGACTTGGAGGGTGCAACAAGAATGAGAATGTGTGAATAATCACAGCCACCAGGGGGAAGCAGAGAGGTGATGAATAGAGAGGTGTTAAGAGGATGGAGAGATGAAGGTGACAGAAAGACAGGAACGGTGCAGGGATTATAGGAACCCAGAGCAGAGCACAAGTACAAACATCCAGAACACAGAGAAGTATTACAAAATCTGGACCACATGTGCTGTCAGACTCGCATGTCACTGCGTGCATGCACACATCCAAACACTGACACAAGAACGCTCGCAACATTTGCGAGCATATATGCACACGGCTGGCTCGAACACTGTACCACACACACTCCACATTCAACACAATTATGTCCATCGTCTGATCTCTGCCTCTCTTTCCAACATATGGCTCTGATTAGGTGGGAGGGAGAAGGACAGAGAGAGTGAGAGTGAAGGAAGGGGATGTGGAGGGGAGGGAGTGAGAGACATTAGAATGAGTGGGGAAAGTATGAGAGGGTGAGAGACGGAAGAAGTATAGGGAGGCGAAGAAAGGATGGACGAAAAAACAGATTTGAGCAATTTCAGAAAAATGGGGAAGAAAAAGTTGGTTGGGGAGGTGGAGGGAGCAGAAGAGGACAAAGCAGTGGAGGATGAAGAGGAGGAGGAGGAGGAGGAGGAGGAATGGGAGAGTTTTTTGCTGTAGCAGAGTTTGGGGCTGCACACATGGAGCAGAGCAACCTCAATGTTCTGCTGCTCTGAGGAATGACACAACTGGGACAGACAAACATGGAGATGAACACACAATCACACGCACACAATCACACACGACACACATACTTTCTTTAACCCCCTTACCCACTCCCTCCCGTGGCCGCTCCTGTCTCCCTGCCTTCCCTCCCTCCCTCCCTTCTTTCCCATTCTCGTTCTCACTTTCTCTCCAGTCTAATTAACAGCACTCATTAATTAAGGCTTCATCTGACCAGTTTGTGAGAGAAGGAGAAGAACACATACTTTAATTAAACATTGCGTCACATGTGCTTACACATACGTGCACACGCTGTCACAGACACGCGGGCACACATACCAACACACAAACTCACATGCTAATATGCCCCCACAGCTTCATCCTCCCACACACTCGCACATCGATTTACACATAAAGACAGACGTATCACGCACACATATGTGCTCATGCACGATCACACACAAAACAAAGACACACAAATATCCCTCTACTGTGCTCTGCGGGGGGCATTCTGACAGGGTTGAGATGCCAGCCAATCAAACACTCCCACTATGATTCATTGTTTAAGCAAACACTCCTGGCATCCATCAGCCGCCATTCTAATATAATCACCGTCATACGTAGCAAATGCGTTTTGGTGCATTTTACTGTGAATGGCTCTGGGGCTTTGGAACACACAGTGGCGTAGTATTGTCTCTGTGAAAACAGCCGATGGTGTGCGCTGTACCCACATGATGATCTGTTGAATCTGTTTCACAAAGAGCAGCTCTCATATGAATGACATTGTTTGAACTGTTTTGATCTTGTACGTGTTTTTCATCCTCTTCTAAAAGTTTTCGGTGTTATTGTGTGCACGCAGGAGCGGCAACAACAACGCAACATGCCACAGAGTGTATGTGCGCACATGTCAGTGTGAAATCAGGGACTAGAGCCTGTCAATTTCCAGTTTGGGCAATTGCCCTGTTGTGCATAGTCTGATGACTCTGTACATGGTAGCTGTACGGCATATCTATTCTCTTCCCATCTATCTCACTGCCACAAAGGCTTGCAGACTCACAGGCCTGCCAGCAGAAACCCTCAATGAGGAACTAGACCCTGTGTGTATGAGTGTGCGAGTGTTGTGCACACTCGCATGTGTGTGTGCGTGAGTGCCTGCGAGTGTGCACGCGTACGAGTGTGTCTTCCTGGGTGTGTTTGTAAAAGCACTCACTGAGCTCTAACGGGTGTGCAGTTGTTGCTAAGAGACAGGCAGCAGCACCGAAACAGCATGGGGGGGTGTAAGGGAGGGGGACATAGAGGAGAGAGAGAGAGAAAGAGAGAGAGAGGTAGTGAGAGAGAGAGGTGGTGAGGGGGAGGAGGGGGGGGAGCTCCACCGAGAGGTTTAGACAGATAAGAAGAAAGGGGGGATAAAACAGAGAGAGGGAGCGAGATGGAGAAAGTGTATGTGAGGCCAGGAGAGAAGAGGAGAGGTTGGGAGGAGGAAGTGGGTCAGGGGGTCCACAGAGACTGAGTGACACCTTGTAGAAACTCAGCTACCATCAGTCTCTCGTTCCTCCACATCACCTCAGCCCTGATGCAACCTCAACCTGCAGCGCTAACAGCCTCCAGCCTATGTACAACAATGGAATCTGTCGACAAAAAAGGAAACAATGCAAAAGACAGTTGATAAAACAACTTGGCGACTAACTGTTTTCAAATCGTCTGTGTCTTCGGCAGAAAAAAAGGTGGAGAAAAAAGGGTGGCAGGTTGTATTCCAGATGGTAAATGTGACCGAGTTTGTCAGGGAAACACTACATGTTACATGATGTTACCCAGCATCACTTTAAAGTGGCTGACTAACTGTAAACACTCACTGTGTGTAGTAATCAAATCAAGCACTTGACCATAAATTATATGTCTCTGAGTGAAGAGCAATATAATTGGGAACATATTTGTAATTCATATTGTTACATCAGTTTGAGGTTAAAAGAAACAAACTTTGTTTATCTTGAGCAGCATCACAGTACACAAAAATAAACCCCATTTAGCATAAGCAGAACCTAGACATCATCTTAAGCTGATAGTCTTACATATTAGATCTAAAGGCGTTCTTCTTCTTCCCATGGTGGGAGAAAAGTTTTCAATATTTACTTTTCGTACTATGTAAAGTTTAGCCAATCTCTGCAAACTTTTAATTCAGCTAAATGAACAGAACAGTAAAAATTTAAGTTTGAAGGCCTTTCCTTGACTGCAGAGCGCTGTAGCCCGACTGGCCTGAGGAGCGAGCAACGATTTCAGCACATCCAAACTCTTCTAATCAACAGACCTGGATTGTCTGAGCTCGAGGTTCTAAGAGTGCCAAAGGGGGTGAGGAATGTTATACACACAAATCACAGCACCAGGGCCAACATGCCTGCACACAATTTACCACCAACAACCCTTCAGAACTGAGCTGAACTTTGGGCTTCAGTGGGCTGCAGCTCCATG